GGGGAACGGGTGTGAGCCCTTTTCCACGGTCAGGCCCTTGTGCACCATGCTGCTCTCAGTTCTGCGTGAGCAGCGGTATCCACATGTGCTCCACATATTTATTATTTTCATCAAACTTTCATTGTCATCAGACTAAGCTTCAAGCACCTCATCCCCTTGACTGAGGGTCATAGTTTTCAGATGGTGGCTTCCCTCAACAGTTGCCACCTCATGTCCCTGACCCACGCTGGAAGGCTCACTTCATAGATCCACACTAGGCAGAGGTGACCAGGGTCACAGAGCTTTGGGAACAGTCTGCAAGCATCAAGTTTTACTAACAAACGAGTAGCAAATGGATTTTTCAGCTTCAGCTCTGAGGTTTGGGGCAGACTTGCCCTATCCAAATCAGTAACTGCTGTTTGAATTTTAATTAACTAAATAAAACGCAGCTATCAGTGTCACAGCTCCACCTGCTGCACGTCAGGAGCTCAGTCGTTGCATGTGCCAGTGACTGTTGACCCGACCGGCACTGCTCGAGAAGGCACATGTCCAGCCCCTTGGCTGAAGCTGGTCCTGTGTGTTACAGGTCTTGGATTTCTTATGACAGTTAGAACAGTGCTGTGTGGGTGACATGAAACGGGCCCACTGGGGTGCTCTGCATGTTGTAAAGAGCCCTACTCATGGAATCTTCTTAAATGGCTTCAACAGTGTAAGATCATCGGGTCTTTGCAATGCCAAGGCTGGGCGTGGGGTGTCCTCATGTTAGCTCCTTTTCAGAAGTTGAACTCAGTGCCTTGGGGTTGACATTTATGCTTTACTTTTAAGGACGGAAGAATCTTCCACATTCAGCACTGTTGACAAATCTCTCCAGGCAGAAGGTAGGTCACATGCACATGTAAAATAGGAAGTGTATCACTTTGCCATAAGATCACACCTGTCCAAAGTAGTGTGAAAGTGCCATCATGTGCCGCTGAGAAGAGCCACCGCACTGCCTCAGAGGAAGGGGTCGGGTGAGATGCAGGAAGGTAAATGAGTAACTCTCTGGTGCTCGGGGCCCAGTGTGACCAAGTTCATTAACTAGTAGCAGCCTTGACGGCTAGCACACTGTGACTCAGAGGGAGGACGGCACCCTGGTTCTTGCAGGGAGCTCCACCTCTAGGTGCCCACTGCCAGTGGACCCTGAGCCGGCACCATGGAGAGAAGCCTGAGGAACGTCCTCATGGTCTCCTTTGGATTCCTCCTCCTCTTCACAGCCTACGGAGGTCTGCAGAACCTGCAGGTAGGTATGGGTCTTGGAGCATGACCTTGACCTCTAAGCTTGTCCTGCCTCCAGAGCCACAGGCAACAGATAGTGCAAGGCCATTTCTTTTGTCAGTGCACCCTAGACTCTCTGCCCTATGCCCTCTGAATTCTCCAGAACAGACTGTGTTTTAATACAAAACCTGACAGAGTCAGTCCTACTTACATTTCCATGGGCTGTACACTGTTTGACCCTTGGACAAGCAGAGCCAGTGTCTCAAGAGAGTGTTTGAGAGGACGATTTGCCTTTGGTGGTCAAAAGGAGACACAAGAAAAATCCTGAATTCCATGGCTCCATGCCCCTGGCTTTGTGATCTGTGCAGAAATAACCATCTATCAAACCTGGCTAGACCTCATGGACTCCATGCTGTCTTTAAGCAAAAGTGTGACCCTGGGCAGAACCGTCTTCCTTCTGAGCCACTGATGGACCGCTTGCTCCTGAGTCCGAGTCATACAGAACCCAGTGGTTTCCAGAAGGCTCTGGTGCTGGTGCCGTGGACCTGGGGTGGAGTTGACATGACTTCGAGTCTGATCTTTCACTGGCAATAGACCTTCAGAGAGTTCCAAGGACTGGCAGGAGGCAGGCCATCGCTGTCCCCGAGAGCAGCTTGCTCAGTGTTGGACCTTGTGGCCAGGGCTGTCATACAATGACACCGTTTTGGAACTTCTGGTGATGACCACAGTCTCCCATGGTTTGTCAGCCAGGTCAAGAAGTAGCCACCTACTGCATGCCCAGCATTGAACCAGAGTTCAGTGCTGTTCCAGCGCTGCAGGTGGGTCGGGAGAAGGGCCTCTGCTTCCAGGCACAGGGAAGCCTTCCAGCAGCTTCCCTTGGTCCTCCTCCCAAGCGCTGAGGCTGGCGGGTGTCCCCACCTCCACACTTTCAGGGAGCAGGGTGCCCGTCCTGCTGTTGAGAGGCTGCTGGCCTTACGCCGCCTACCTGCCGTGTCCTTAGCACAGAGGGCCTGTTACTGGGGTTGGGGACCTGAGGTGCCTTGAGCCCACGGGTCCTGGCACCCACACCACTCCCCTGCCTACTCCTCCCCCTCCTTGACAGGCCGGTCTTGTTCCCACAGAGCAGCCTCTACAGTGAGGACGGCATGGGGGTGGCGACGCTCGGCACGCTCTACGGCGCTGTCCTCCTGTCCTCCATGTTCCTTCCACCCATCCTCATCAAGAGATGTGGCTGCAAGTGGACCATTGTTGGCTCCATGTGCTGCTACGTGGCCTTCTCCCTGGGCAACTTCTACGCCAGCTGGTACCCGCCCTCCCGCCCACCCACCTCCTGGTTTGCGGGACTCTGGCGGCACCTGACTGTTCAGGTTCTGCGGGAGGCTGACTGGCAGCTCCTCCCCACTTTCCCACCAGGACTTCCCTGCCTTCCCGATGGCTCCCTCTCTTCCTCCTGACCCCCAGTGCTGACCTCTCCCTGGGATCTGTCTACGGCCCTCAGCTTCCCTTGTACCCCACGGGCCCCCGTAATGGCAGGAAGAACCTGATTCTGTTGAGGAGGGTGAGTCTGGGAGGCGTGGCCAGGATCAAGGGCAGGGATGCAGGCCACCCCTTGCCCTTTCTTGCAGGTTCACCTTGATCCCCACCTCCATCTTGCTGGGGCTGGGAGCGGCCCCGCTGTGGTCTGCTCAGTGCACCTACCTCACAGTCCTGGGGAACACGCGTGCACAGGAAGTGGGCGAGCTCGGCGAGGACGTGGTGAACCAGTACTTCGGCATCTTCTTCCTCATCTTCCAGTCCTCTGGTGTGTGGGGCAACTTGATCTCCTCTCTGGTGTTTGGGCAGACTCCCACTCAAGGTAAGGGAAGAACAGGGTGTCCCTGGTGACCTCCAAGGGGGAGGGCGGACAGCACGTAGGCACTTGGCCTTGTTCCCAGAGGAGGCCCTCAGCTGGCCTCAGCCGCAGAGTCCCATGAGACCCTGCTCCTCCCAGGACAGTCGGGGTCTGAAGATCCATCTCCACACGTTGCCCCCTCCCGGGGAGCAAGGGTCCATGGGGTCGTGGCTTCCTTTGGGGGCAAAGAACAGGTTTGCCTGACTATTTCCTGTGGAATTAGTCCATGGGCAGCTTTTTAAAGTTCTGTGGTCAGTCCTTCCTGAAACAAGAGGTGCGCTCATGGTGGAGCCCTCCGTCACCTGCCTTAAGTGTCCCTTGCCCGGCCGTGATGCGGAACGTGACTTGCACACCACCGTGTGGAGGATCTCAGTCTGGCCAGAGGAGTTGGGCAGGAGCCGGCCCTGGGGGACAGGCTCTGGCCTCTTGCTGCTGTCGGGTTGACCCTGTCCTGCAGCCTGGCCCAGCTCCTGCTCTCCCAGGTAGAGCCCAGCTCTGGGAAGCTGTAGCCAAACCTCCTGCTCTTTCCAGAGCACGTCATCGCTGGCTACTGGCATCCCCACAGGGAAACCTCAGGGGCTCGCGCTCTTCCTGTCCCCCAGCAGGGAGGGCTACGGCTGGGCCCTGGTGAGTGCAGCAGCAGGCACTGGACATTCAGGCCAGGGAGCTGAGGGCAGGAACCCAGGGCACACATCCTCAGGGCCAGCGGGGTTTCAGCACCCACAGCCTGGTACCCTCAGCACTCACGTCCTGTTCTGCACGTCTCGCCAGCCCAGACAGTGCTGCGAGGTCACTGTCACGAGGCTGTGCCATGGAGACCACTGGACACCGACTGCGGTGCGTTGGGAGAGGGCACAAAAAGTAGCCAGGCCCATGCTGCGTGTGCTCTTCCCTGCTCTTGGCAGAAAGCGTATTTGATCCTCTGCCTCCCTGATGAGGGGTCTTGAGATCAAGGTGTGCCTAAGGGTGAGCGTGCCCTGGTCCTTGTCAAACACAGCCGGGTCCTTCCACGTCCTGCCTCAGAGGCTCCACCACCTGCCCCCATTCCCACTGCGACGCCCAGGACTCTCATAGGCTGTTTGCTCCTGACCCCGCAGAGGCCACCCCAGAGGAGCACCTTGAGTCCTGTGGGGCCAACGACTGCCTGATGGCCACAGCGCCCACCAACAGCACCCACCGCCCCTCCCAGGAGCTGATCTACACACTGCTGGGCATCTACACCGGTACGTGTCCTTAGCCCACGAGAGTCCCTCGAAGGCCAAGCCCAGCCCCTTCCTGGGTTGAAGAGCACCATCCCAGCTCCTAAGTGCTCCGTTTCCGTCCACACCCCTGCCCTGTGTGGTCTGCAGGTCCTCAGGGGCTTCTCTTTGGAAAGCAGGCCTGTGGGCCAGGGCTACCCTGCAGGGTGCCCGTGACATTTAAATCTCTTCTCATCCCCAGAGCCCCATGCACTGGCTGTCAGCCACATTCCAACCAATTAAAATCCCAAAGTCTGTTTCTAAGGCTCCCTAGCCACACTTGGCAAGCTCACTGGCCACAGCTAGCTCACTAGGCGAGCAGCTACCACAGTCCCCATCCAGGGGACCAAGGCATGGAGGACCAAGTCCATCCAGGTGACCCTGAAAGGCCAGGAAGGGGTGAGGGAGGTGCGACTGGGGGGGACACTGTGGGCTGCCTGAGACAGGTGGTCAGACTGGTCAAGGCTACTGTGAAAGACCCAAGGACAAGGGCAGATCTGTTTCCTGGGCAGATTTTCATATCCACCTGATGTGGGGGTACAGGAAAGCTGGGTGGTGACCAGCCAGCAGGGAGCCACAACCCAGAGGAGCAGGAGGGGCACAGGCAGCATCTGGACAGAGAAGACAAGACCAGGGATGTGTGTGCAGACACAGGTGTGGGGAGAAGTGGCTGAGGTCCACCAGCCTGGAGGCATTTGGCTTGATGGGGCAGGTGACCCTTCAGAGTGTAGTGGAGGAAGCAGGAAGGACTTCAGGGAGGACGGTCCACAGCCTGGGCGACTCAGTGCTCACAGGCTGGCCAGGGCATGGGAGCCCTGCAGAAGAGGGAAAAGCAGACCGGGAGTCGGCGCACGCAAGAGACAGAAGCAGCAGGGAGTGGGTGTGAGAGGGGGTCAGAGGACCAAGAGCCTGGAGGTTCAGGAGCACGGCTGGACAGCAGAGACTGGTGACCCTCCAAGGTGTCTGAGGCCAGATGAGTGGCTGGGAAGGAGAGTGGAGGGTGTGGAGGGAGTCGGTGAGGAGCGGGCTGTGGCCTGCGCTTTCCAGTAGGTTCCCAGGTTCTGTGGGTCTGGTGCTGGGGACAGGGGTAGAGGTCACCCAGGCCTGCGCTTTCTGCTTTCCCTGCATTTCCGTCCCTGTCTCCCATGTGAGCAGGCAGGCCCAGCTCACGGCAGCGTCCAGGCTGAGCTGAGATCACGTCCTGCTCTACACTCTCTAGTTAGACAACAAAGAGCAGAGACTCCCCTCCCCGTGGCTTCAGGACTCCAGACCTGGGGTGACAACCTGAGAGGTGGATCTGGGAGTGGACATTAGGCTCCTGGTGTTCCCTGGTCTCAAGAAACTGCTCTTACTGTCTTCACCCAGGGAAGGCCAGAGACGCGGGTCAGTCAATGGTAACGCAGTGTTCACGGCAGCAGGTGGTAGCAGGATGTGGCCACAGGCCGAGTGCTAAGCCAGATCTAGAGGAGTGGCACAGACCACAGGAGAGCCCCTCGGCGCGTCCGTGGATCGCAGGCCCTCCTTCCCTCCTGCCCTGCACGGTGGCACTCTGAGGCTATCCTTCAAGTCCTCCTCTGCCTTAGCCCCAGGTGCTGCTCATCAGATACTTGGTACCTGCAGAGCACAGTGACTTGGGTGGTGACCTCAGGCTCTCTGAGCATTGTACGCATGAAGAAGTTTCTTGAAGCCGATTTCTTTAGGGCGAGAGCGTTACCTGCACAGCATCCCTCACCACCTTGAGGGAACTGGGTCACATGGTGTCTGCACACACCTGGCTCCTAACAAAGGTGTGTGGCTTCTGTATGCTGCCTGCCTCTCCCAAGCTCCCGTCTCCGCAGAGGAGAGGAAACCATGACTTCCACCTGATTCACACACAACCAGGCGACAGGCTTCCCCAGGAGGGGGCTGTTCAGCTGGGGATGCAGGGAGCCCCCGTGCCCCACGACCAGCTGTCAGTTGGGCGAGTGATGAGGGCCCTGGCATGATGGTGAGGGCTGGTCAGCTGGCAGCGCTCGGTGCGCCTCCCCGTGCCCTCTACCATGACAGGGGAGGGTGGCGAGGTCAGTGAGACGGAGGTCAACGGGAAGGAGTCCTTGAAAAGTGTTCTGAGGGCCAGCGGCGCCAGGAGGAAGGGAAAGACCAGACCTCCATCCAGCCTGTGCCGCCCACACGGGGTCATCCCTGTTGCCAGAAAGCCCAGAACCGGCTGGGAGTCACAGGGACTCTGTGGAGAGACACCACCTGCAGCAGCTTGGGCCCACCCAGAGCAGAGCTGAGGCGCAGGTGGACGGGCCAGGGGCGGGCGGGGAGGAGGGGACTCGCTGGCTTCTGAGGCCCGGCACCTGGGGGTCCAGGATGCTCCCTCGGAGCAGATCCATCCCTGTTAGAAACAGCGGTTTACACGGCAGCCCGTTGGCGTGGTTCAGATAAAAGGCCGTGCAGCCCCTCAGCCCCGTCCCTCTGCCCCGTCCCTCAGCCCCGTCCCTCTGCCCCAGTCTGCTTCTCTCCAGGCCTTCAGGGCACATAGGGACTAAATCCTCACGTCCCCCTTGCTGAGCGCGGGTGGCGCATGGTCAGCACCTGGCTCAGCGCTGGCTTGGTCTCCTCTTTACTGATCTGGTGGCCTCTTCCACCTGGACAATAGAGTTCTGTCCTTATCCCCAAACGTGACCCACTGTGATGGATCCACTCCATTTAACCAGTTCCCACCAAAGTATTCTAGGCAAAAGATTCAAAATAAACCAGAGTGTAGCACATGGTACCCTGGGGGGACTTG